AAATTTCCATGAGCTGTGGAGTGTAGTATACCAACGATGTGGATTGTTTCTTTAATTAAAGTTTCCTAATCAACTGGGCACTAGAAAGCAAAGTCTACTTATTATTTACTTATAAGAACTTCAATTAACAAAAATAGTGACAAGAGCATTCCTTTATGTACTTCAGCAATCATGTGTCCTGCTGTTTCCTGAATGTTTCCTTTCTGGTTTTCAGGACATCCGACAGCTCCTTATTCATCCAGATGGCTTTATGAGACATTGTTATCTTTCCTTTAAATCAGAATAGCCTGAAGTTGCACTAAGGATAAAATCTCATTCTAAAGCAACTACTGCTTCTTGTTGTTTTAATTGTCCTTTAGTTATTATGCTTTCAGACCTTAACCCACATAGCTTGTTCTTTGTGTAGTAAACCATTTCTTCTTGACTTCTCACATCAAAACTCAAAAATATGTTCCTTTGCTTTTTTCTGAATTGTCCCTTAATTTGGGGGTCAACATTCAGCATGATTGATTGATTTTTTTAAAAGAGTATTTGTGTGTGTCCTGTTCCAGACTTTGGTCCTCCTGCAATACTTCCTGAAGGACCATTACAGTGGTGCCTCGCTTAACGGGTGTCCCCTTTAATGAAGAAATCGCATAGCGATGAAGATTTTGCGATCGCAAAAGCGATCACATTACAGCACGATGTTTTAAATGGGGGAAAATCACTTTGCGATGATCGGTATCCTGTTTCGCTTACCGATCATCGCAAAGCGATGATTTTTTAACAGCTGATTGGCGGTTCCAAAATGGCCACCCGCTGTTTTCTGGGATGGATTCCTCGCTTACCAGGCAGCGAAAATGGCCGCCCTATGGAGGATTTTCGTTTAAAGGTGAGTCTGAAGCCCCTAGGAACACATTGAAGGGGTTTCAATGCATTCCTATGGGCTTTTTAATATCGCATAGTGACGAAATCACTTTGCAGCAATTTTTGCTGCACCGCTTATCATCGCTATGCGAGGCACCACTTGTATTTAGATCTGTTTGTGTGAGTAGGATATTAGGAACAGAGAAAACTGCCTTGTAATGGATGAAACTACTGGCCCACTTTTGTTAGCTCTGATTTGTAGTGGCTCTCCAGGGTTTCAGGTGGGTTTCTTTCCTAGCCCTACCTGAAGAGCTCTAGTACTGCCTGATTATCTCCCATCCAAGTACTAACTAGCATACTTATCTTCTGAAATCAGATGAGATTGGTGTACTAGGTAATATGGTGGTATTCTTGCCATCTTTCACTCATTTATTTCTGTGGCTTGTAAGCCATCTACCTCCATAAAGCCCTTTCCATAACTATGTATTCATCTGTCTTCAAGGGGGGGCGTCATTGGGCAAGACATGTCAGTGGGAATCCTCCATCTCACAGCAGACTCATATTTTCCTCTCTATTACAGTGGCTACATGGCTCCTTCCACATCTTACGAGGAAAAGAGAAGCAGATGAGTGAATGAACAGGGGCTAGCAAAGGATGCTTCTCTTTAGCTACTGTCACTGCTCTCTCCCAAAGGAGTGAACAGGTGAATAAGTACAAAGAGAAGCCACTTTTGCTTGGGGTCCCACCAACATTTTTAGTAGGCTATGATAGGAAATGGGATTGGCTTAGATACAGTCTTTCCCATTATTCAGAGGGAGGGCAGGCAGGCAAATGAACTAGTAGTCATGCCAGCTGCTCTCTTTACCATTTATTTGTTCGTCCTGCAAAACATAACAAACACTCCTCTGTGGTTATGTGTTGTAGGGACCACCAACAAATGATGGGCATGGTGGTTTTCTGAGAAGCTTAGTCTCCGTTATTAACGTTCTTGTATAATCTATGAGAAGGTCAATAAGGGCAAAACCTGTGATATAGAGGCTACATTACAGAGAAAACACAAGTTTTGCAGGAACATCAAACGTTACTAAATACAATCTGAAACTATAGATTCATCTGCTTATCTATTCATCCTGAGTGGTCAATAAAATATTATTGATCACAACAGTACTTTTTATTTTCAGTTAGCTTTTTGAACAGATTTGCCACTGACAGCACTACTCCTATTCTTATTTATTTATTTATTCTATTTATACCCCACCTATCTGGTCATTGCGACCACTCTAGGCGGCTTACAACATACAAACATGACAAATATATAAAAAAGATTATAACACAAATTAAATAATTCTGCAAGATGGGAAACATACAAGTAAATCAATTAGAGGGAAGAGGGGAAATAGTCAGGAATTAACTGGGGGGGGGGAGGCCTGCCTAAACATCCACGTATTTAATCTCTTTACCCCATTACTCATGGGTTATGACTGCTTCACCATCATAATTATTTTTCTGCATCCTAGAGTTCAAACAACAGTTTCTCAATACTATTTGTTTAAAAAGTATTCAAGATAGTCAACAATGTTTCCTCTGCAGGTAGAGAAGATACAGTAGAAAGCAAATACATGTGAATGAATACATACAACTTCTAAAATGTTTTTTCCTGTTTCTATGGCCAAGCTCACCCTTATCCACAGATGCAAAAAATCCAAAGGTATGAAGAAAGTTGCTAATCAAATGGATTCTTCAGGAACATAAATTAGTAGCCCTTGTTGAGTTCAATAGATTTAAACAGGCCTAACTCTGCTTGTGTGCAAAACACTCTCTTACGTTCAGTGGCTGCCAATTTCCTATGTTCTACGTTTCTTATTGTTTCTTCAAAATTTCACATGTTTTGCGTTCTTTTTGCACTTTGTTTCTTGTGTGTGTTGCAGTCTTTTCTTACTTCCTCACAGCTTTCTTATTAGTTCTCAATTCCAGCCACCTTGCCTAGCTAAGTTAAGCACTGTCACTCCTATCATTGTCTTCCTGATACCACCCCCACTCCTACCCCAAAGGCCTGCTCTTGTCCATCTAATCTAGAGCAGAAGCTGAAATCCTTCCATAGCAGCAAGGACGAGAGCCCTTCTGTGCCCTGCGTAGCCCTCAGCACACATTCTCTAGCGCATACGCCAACATTAATACTGAACAGTAGCCACCCGGACTTTTGTTTTATTCTATTCTCCATCCATGCAATCCTAAAAGTGCGATGTTTCCAGACAAGAAAATTTCACAGCAAAAACAGCAGTCTTATTGGCACGAACCACATACTACTGGTTGGAGGATATGTTTAGCAGGATTCAAGGCATATTTGAAGGGAAATTAAGTCCCACTATTGTTTCTAATCTCATCCCAGTGCCAGCTGTGCAAGGTGACCAACTGTCATCCTCTTTTTTTGATAGGAATACACATACAAAAGTAGCATCTTGGCATTCACAACTAATTACAGTTAAGACTGTTATTATGCACAGATTAAGCAAGCGTGGAAAGGAAATGGAACACCTGAACATTCCTTGCTCTGTAACTCATTAGCTGGTGAAATTCCCTCTCCCCCACCCTCCTTCTCTTTCTCAAAAATGTTAATCCCTAATGGCTAAGCTCTCACAAACCCCTGCTATGGAGCATGTTTTCTTTCCTCTTCTTAGCCCAGCTGCCTGTGAGTCACCCCACCCCCTTTCCAGTGCCTGTCTGAATGTCTCCAAACTCACAAGAGGATTCCTGTTATTGGTAGTACCGTATAATATTGGTCATCATCTCCAACTTTTGCCTGTCCACAAATGAGAGAGAATGGATTGCACAACCTAAAGCCAGATCAACTCACAAACAAATTCTGGACACAAGCTGTTGTATGACTTCAACCACAAGCATTTTCCAGAGGAAAATGAAATCAGAGAAAAGGTTGTGTGCAGGAGCGGGTGATACCTTTTACTGGGCCACTTTATTAAATCAAGTGCGAGCTTTTGATGGTAATTCATCTTCCTAAGGCTGTGCATCAAGATCTTGTATATCATTCATAAAAATTATATATTAGGGTTGTGAAGCTTCATGGCATGCTGTTGCTCATGCCAGGCAAGGGCTATCTTCCATAGCTGAGGAAAAAAAATCAGAAAAAGGCCATGTGGTCCCCCCTCACCCTCAAACTAATACAAAGGTAGAGAGTAACCATGTTTGTCAATTACAGCAAAAACAAAGAGTTTTTGATGCACTGCAAGGATTAAGGCAAAATCCAAAGAAAAAAGAACAAAATTTTTTAAAATAGAAAAGCCTTGTGGCACCTTAAAAGATTAACTGTTGTATTTTAATATGAGCTTTCTTGGATTAAGCCCATTTCTTTTATTCTACTTTCCATCCATGAAATCAGTAAAAGTGCAGTGTTGCTAGACAGGGTTGGGACGGGAGTTCAATGTGCCTGGACTCGATGATCCATAGGGTCGCCTTCATCTCTGCAGTTCAAACTCATTAAAATATAATCGTCTTTAAGATACAACAAGGTTTCCGTCTTTATTTTTAGTTCTTCTTTCCTTTGGATTTTGCCTGGTATGTTTGCACAGACCCAACACGGCTATAATTTCTAAAACGACAACTAAGGATTAATTAACTTTGAGTGGCATGAGGCTGCAGAGAATGAAAGTTGACGTCAGCTAAAATTTGCGAGTGCTTAAGGTGCCACAAGACTCCTTGTTGTTGTTTTTTTTTAAACCGCAGGCATCTCCTCAGAAGCAAGTCTCGCGGGGGCGTTCAGCGGCGATGACTCCCAAACGGAGCCCAGAAGGGCGGCGGAGCCACAGCCGGCGGGACCCGAACCTGTTGCAGTTCCACCTTCTGGCCTGAGGGCGGGACCCGCCAAGCCAAGGCCCTGCCGCGGTGCCTTGTGGGCCACGCACTGGTGGAGGCAGGAACCGCAGAGGCTGCCGGGAACGGCAGGAGGCGGCGGCGGCGGTGAAACTCCGGAGTCCGGCGACAGGCAGGAGCGGCCAAACCCACTCGGGCTGCCTTGGCACCGTCTTCTCAGC